CCGAGCGCTCAGCCCCGAGCGGACCCGCCGCTGCCGCCGCCGCTCCCGCAGACGCCGGGGAGGGAATTTTTTCCCTTTTCAAAATGGCGCCCAATGCCCGTCGCCCCGCTGGATGACGTCATCCCCCTCCGCCTCCTCCGACGGTCAGTGCCGCGGGGGCTGCCGGGGGCGCACCGTGCGCCGAGTGCGTCTGCGCGAGCCGTCTCGAGGCTGGAACCGCGTAGCTGCTGCGGGCTTGGAAAGAGTGTCTTGGAATAGTCCGCTGACAGGTACAGGCGGCCTTCTGGAATTGTGTTAAGGGCTAGGACGCGACACCCCCTGCGTCTTTAAGGGCTTCAGACTTGGCTTCTGCGGCCGGCTGGACTCGCTGCTCGTAGGCCCGGACCCTTCCCACTGCTGAACCAACGGGAACGCGGTACCTCCGTGAATCTGCCAATAGAGAGCGCTCGGCCGTGGGCAGGCGGGGCCTCTGAGTCTTCCAGCATCTGGAGCCCAGCACCTGAGTGCGTAATTTTACCATCTCCCACGCTCTCTTGCCCCAGGATCTTTCTTAGCTTTTGCGCACCGTTAGCATGAGAGTGCTCCTTCAGAGGTTCCTTGATCTCGCAGTATAGCCCCATGAAGCCGTTGTCGTCTTTTGCTTTATTTGTGGGTGTGTTTTTCTAGCATACAGAGGGGTTATTTGCTGGTGGGCTTGACGTACTCGAAATCAATTTTCGTAGATACTGTGAGGTTGTCAGTGGGCGTGTTGCACCACTAGAGGGCAGTTGTTCCAAATCAGAGCATTCTCCACTTCACAAATGCCTTTTAGCAGGCTCTTGCCTGTTCTCTTTCAGTCTTGCCTGGAATGCTGCTTGTGTAGTGTTGATTTGTCCGTCCTGGTGAAGCTTACTCCTTAGTGGAGAAGAGACTTTACGAAAAACATGGGGACAATCAGGTCGAGCAGAGAGAAATACAGCAGCGAAGGAGGGAAAGGATATAGGAATAGGAGAGCTGGCGTCTTAAGAGAGCAATTAGAGGAGACAAGAGTGCAAGCCCTGCAAGAGTCTTGGGCAGCTGCTAAAAGTGGGAACAGCCAGTGCACACGCAGGTCCACCCTGACCTTTTCTTCTTTGGTTCTTTGAATTTATCCTTATGCAATCTCAGTCTCTCTCCCTCCCTTTCTCCCTCCCTCTCCTCCTCCTCCTCCTCCTTCTTCTTCTTCTCTCTCTCTCTCTCTCTCTCTCTCTCTCTCTCTCACACACACACACACACACACACACACACACACACACACAAGCACTTGGTTGGGGTCTTGCCGTGTAACCTGAGGCTGGCCTCCACCACACCTAGCTTCTGATAAGGGGCAGCAAGAAACCGGAGAAAATGGCCGAGGAAGGCTAGTCATAGTAGTGGAGGCAAGGAGGTAGGGGCAGGGGGACAGAACAGGAAGCCATTTTCAGGAGGTGGATTCTGATGAAATGGCTGACTCTGGCTGTGAGTTAGGGAGAGTCATGATGGAACAGTGCCTTCCTTCAGCAACACCCTAGGGTTGCTTCTGAAAGAAGCTGTGGTAAGTAGGAGGATGAAATGAGCTGCAGGTGTCTGGGTATGTGAGACAATTAGAGAAGAAAGAATAAGAGGGGAGACGTGGGCATTGAGGGTGTGGGAATAGTGGCAGGTGACACCCCAGAGCTTCAGGATTGTTAAGAGCACATGCATAACCCTGGGAGGACATGCTGGGGAGGAGCTGACCCTGGGCAGCCAAAGGGACTTGAGGAAGGAATTCCAAGCCTTGGAAGGAGACTACTTGCAGATTTGGGGCCTAAGTTAAGTGTATTCGGACTCCATGTAGAGCATGAATATTTCAAGTAACACCAAGGTTGTGAAACATTCCATTCTGCCACATTGTAGCTGCAAGTTTAAAACATGCAAAAGTTAAAATGGCTCCCACTGTCAGATGTGTGTCCATGTGCCCTGGGCTGCATCTTTTGTTCTGTTTTTTTTTTTTTTAATTTCTATTTATTTATTTTCTGAGACAAGATTTCTCTCTTTAACAGCCCTGGCTGTCCTGGAACTCACTCTGTAGTCCAGGCTGGCCTCGAACTCAGAGATGCCTCCCCAGTGCTGGTATTAAAGGTGTACACCACCACTGCTGGGCCTGGCCTGCATCTTTATGAAGAATGGTAGACTGAATGGGCAGACTTGTGAGTAGCTGCCGTCATGATTAGTGGTGGGCAGTGTGTATTGTGAAATGAACTCTTGAGTATAAAGAAGAGGGAGGAGAAGGCTCAGGGGGAGGGCGAGTACCAGGAGGAGATAGCCCTCACTACCACCCTTATTGCTACCAACCTGATATCACTGAAGTCCAGTAAGGAAGAGTGGGGTGTCACTCAGTTTCTGCAGCTGGCACACACAGCTTCTGCACATTCTATCTGAAGAATCTGGAAAGCAGGCTCTTGCTGCTCTGTGCATCCCTCCCCAGCTCAAGCTCTATCTTGGATGCAGCACTGTGACAATGAGCGGAGATTTAGCTACCAGACAGACACTGTGAATGTCACATCTCAGAACTTCAACTTCCTCCCCTCTTAAATGGAATGTCCTCACCCAGATCTCAGAGTGCCCTCTGCGTAGCTGCACCGTGACCATTGGTGTAGTCACACAACACTAGATGTTGACGAGCAGATTTTAGTGCTTGTGGCTTGAAGTATTGGGTCAGTTTGACCTCTGTGTTGCTACTGTCTTTGGGGTTAGACTCCTTACAGTGACTTTGGATGGGTTTGTCTTTGATCATTTTATTTTCTTTTTTAAAAGGCAAGTTAATTGAAATTTTTTCTTTGTTTGAGGCAGGAACTTACCATGTAGCCTAGGTTGTCCTGGAACTCTCTGGATAAGGTTGGCCTCAAACTCAAGAGACTCCTCTGCCCTTGCCTCCCGAGTGTTGGGTTTAAAGACTTGAACCACTGTCCTAGTTAGGGTTACTATTGCTGTGATGAAACACCATGACCAAAAGCAAGTTCGGGTGGGGGTTACTTGACTTAACTTCCACATTATAGCCCATCATTAAAGGAAGTCATGGCAGGAACTCAAACAGGTAGGAACTTGGAAGCAAGAGCTGATGCAGAGGTCATGGAGGGGTGCTGCGTATTGACTTGCTCATCATGGCTTGCTCAGCCTGCTTCCTTGTAGAACCCAGTATCACCAGCCCAGAGGTGGCCCCACCCACAACGTGCTGGACCCTTCTCCATCAATCACTAATTAAGAAAATGTCCAACAGGCTTACCTACAGCCAGATCTTATGGAGGCATTTTCTCAGTTGAGGCTCCCTCCTCTACCCTATGTCTCAACATAAAAGGCCAAATTTAATTATTTTTTGTTTGTTTTTGTTTTTTGAGACAGGGTTTCTGTGTGTAACAGTCCCGACTGTCCTGAAACTGACTCTGTAGATCAGGCTGGCCTAAAACTCACAGAGATCCTCCTACCTCTGCCTCCTGAGTGCTGGGATTAAAGGCTTGCACAACCACTGCCCAGCCTCAAATATAATTTTTTTTTAAAACATTTATGTATGTCTGTGCTAAGGCCAAAAGAGGATGTTGGATCCTCTGGTGTTGGAGTTACAGGAAGTTATGATTTGCCTGATGTGGGTGCTGGGAACCAAATCAGGACCTATGGAAGAGCAGCAAGTGCTCTTAACCCCTGAGCCATCTCCAGCCTCATCATTTTCTACTGCTTACTTTAATATGGAGTAGGATGGTACCTGCCTTTGTTCCCCACCCCCACTCTATCCCCACTTCTTTCTCTTGTCTCTGTTGTCCTCCTCTAAAGTTGGTCCTCATGAGAACTTCTGTGGGTCATACCTTAGAGACCTTAAGTTACTGTGCTCTAGCCCCTGCCTTCTCTGGTCTTAATGTCTCCACAGCAGCTGTAAGTAATGAATGGAACAGATACTTTGTCTGTTGAGTGAGACTGATGCAGTTCTGTGTGCAGGAGCTCAGAGTCCATCAGGAGCAGGCCATCTTTGAGCTGTATCTGTCTTGGGTAAGGAGTGGGACAGGCCGGAGTCCATGGGAGCTCAGCAAAGATTGGAGATATGAGCTTTAGCCAGAAAGGTAGATGCTGAGACTGTGGGGGGGGGGGGAATGACAACCCATCAGTGAACTTGATGGGTGATAGGGGTTGAGGAAGGAATGAGAGGACAGAGGTGGTGCATGTATCTAACTTTAGGCACAGAAAGTTCAGTGTCTGAAGTAGGAGTGGAGTAGGTGTCATTCAGATGAGACTGTCTCCACTGGGGAACAGCATGGAGACATAAGGAACTGGCTCCACCCGCACACACAGGGGAACACCCTCCAAGAGGCTTCCGCTGCAGGAAATGGGACCTGGAGGAGGAAGTTCAGGCCCCTGCAGCACACCTGTCTTGTAGAGGATGAAGCACCCAGGCTGCTGCTACCTTGGGCTGTGACACAGACCTTGAGTCCTTGTTCTAGATAGTCAGGTAGCTATAGCACGTCAGCAGGGAGGATCGTGGTTAGCAGGAGTCTCCAGTTTCTTAAAGGGTTCTGTTTCCAAGGCTTTTTGATAACCCTGATAATAGGAATTCAGTGGGAGAAGTAGTACTGTCAATCACAGCCTAATCACGGCTGTAGAAACTTGGTTGACTCACACAGCTATAAGCCTACATCAGCTTCAGTCTAAGCTACCATCCTGATTCAGACTTTGGAGCTCCTTGGGGCTGGTCAGGAACCTGGGGAAGAGATAGAGAAGCCTTGGGGAGAGGGAGAGGCAGGAGTCCTGGGACAATTATACTCTGCTGGGGTTGTTAACCCAGTTGCCAGTCTGCAACTGGAATCCCTGAGATTGCTTTTGGCCAGAGTCCAGTGACACTTCTGGAATCTCTAGGTGTCACTCAAGGTATCAGAAGTGGGTACATTACCTAATATGTACTCATTGGATTTTCAAGATGTTCTGGTATCTGTACATGTATGTCATTGGCAAGTTAGAGGCCATTGAAAAACGTGGTGTGTGAATCAGGTGCCTACTGCTAACCTCTCCCCACACCCTAGACTGTAGCTTCCTACCTAGGAATGGAGACTCAGCACAAAGTTCTGGAAGTCCTGGTGTCAGTAGAAAGCTCTTGCCTTATCTCTTACCTGCATCAACTCAGGAACTCCCAAGACCATGGTGTTAACCTATGGCAGTGCATCAGCCCCCTCTGCTGCCCTCCATGGTGCTGTTCCTGCCATATCTGAAGGGGAAGCAGAGTGCTGAGATCGCCTGTCCTTGCTGACATAGTAGGGTACAGCTTGGTTTGTTCACCCTGAGTTGATACACAGGTATTCAAGTGTATCTCTGTTCATATTTTGGAGCAAGAGAACAGGCCCTAAATTAGGAGCAGAGCTCACACTTCATCGAATTCATGCACAGCAGGTCTCTGGGAGGCTGGCCTAGAGGCTTGGAAAAATTTTTCCTGTCTAAATTTGATAGATACCTGTTTTTTTTTTTTGGTTTATTTGTTTTTTTAAAAACACTGGCAGCTATTTGATGCATTTTAAAAAAAAATTTGAATTTCGTATTTTAAAGTGAGAGGAAAACACTTGCTCATTTTAAGTGCTTTTTTTTAAAAAAAATTCACAGACGGGGATAACTTAATTTCAAAAATAAAAATACAGCTTCCCAATATTCTGCAATATGGCTTTGTTCTCTGAATTATAAGATCAAGGCAGCTTGAGCGCAGTGCAGACCTGGCATGGCAGCAGAAGGCATGGAGCTGAAGGCACAGACCCAGCTCAGCAACTTGCAATTTTTCTTCACTGGGAACCTATTTGAACTTAAATTATGCACAATAAATGTCAAATCTTCCCCCATTTATCTTAGTAACTTAGGAATCCTGTATATTGGGAAAAGCTCTTTGTACATCAGAGCTCCTTAACAATGTGCGTTGTCTCATCTTCTCGTGGGAGGAAATGTCAGCTTGATTGATGTGATCTGGGGAGTGAGGGCTGCTCTGAGGAGAGCCCCAGTGCACAGGCTTCTCTCTTCTGCCTCAGCTCTGATTGCTTGCTCTGTGGAAAGCCCTTTTAGGGCACCCTCTTCATTTAAGCACCTGCCATCTACCCCATGAGTCACCTTGAGAAACATGCCACCACCAGGAACAGAACCCACACCAAGCCTAGTGACTCAGAGTCTCCCACCCATCCAGAACAAGGAAGAGACAGGTATGCAAGAATGTGTTCTTCAAAACTTAACCCCATGGTGGCCCCATGCCCTTTCTTCTGAGCCTTTAGAACTAACACAGTAGATGTCCAGGAGACTTGGTCCTGTGAACTTGACAGAAGCTCCTGGGACACTCTAATCTGAGTGTCCAGCTGAAGCAGCACTCCCCACCACCACACTCCCATGCAAGAACTAGGTGAATATAGAGGGTGTCACCCTTGTGGGCAAGGCCAGGATCCCAACAAAGTCGGGAATTGAAACTTCTGTTCCACCAGACTCACCCTTCTTCCCCCTCTCTTGTTAGTCTCATGTGGGCCAGTCTGACCTTGGACTCTGTAGCCCTGGATGCTGTTGAACTCCTGACCCTTCTTGCCTCTGTCTTCCCAATGCTGGGATTGCAGGTGTGTACCATCACACAGGTATATGCTAACACACAAGTGTGTGCCACCAGTGCCTCTCTAGCTTCTCTGCACGATATTCTCCATCATCAGTAGTTAGGGGTAACAGGTCTAGCCTAGCAGAAGGAGGTAGGAGGGCACCAGAAAGTAAACTGAAATTCTACATAAACCTTATTTGTGGCCTCAATGAGAGATATTTTGTTATTGAGCTTCAGAGAGGTGGGAATCATTTATGGGTCCCCAGTCCATGTATGTATGTATCTCCGTAGAAGTACCAGATGCCTGATCCTGCCCTTGGAGGAGCTTCCCTAAGCACAAAGCTGGCAGCTGGTGCTTTCCTCATCAGGAAACTTCTGCCCTCTGCTGGTCGAGACAGGGGAAACAGCTCAGTGCCACCTTGAAATCCTGGAAGAGACCAAGGTAATGGATGGATGGATGGAGGTGATTGGAATTCTGTTTTCACAAAAGCATCCTGGGAACAGAAATTCCTCAAAATCAGAAACTGAGCCCTACCCCTGTAAGCTGGCAGAATCTTTACACACTAGCAAACCCACTGTAAGATCCTGGACAGAAACCTTTTATCAGCCGGGGGGGGGGGGGGGGGGTTAGGATGCATTTAAGATACAGACATACCCTGTCCCGGACCTTTGGCCTTGGCCCTCACCTGCTGCCAGAGATGGGGGAGTGAGAGGAAGGAAAAGGGAGAGAAAAGTGAGTGGAAGGAGGGCAGGTATGTGTGTGTGTGTGTATGTGTGTGTATGTGTGCGCGTGCACGTGCATGTGCAAGTTTGCATTCCTTGACAGATGACCTGGCCCAGTTACCCTCACAAAGCAGACTATGTCTCTGCCCTTTGGGGTTCTGGGGAAAACGTGAGGCATGGCTGATTGCTCTGTGTCTGGTTCAAGGATGAGACTTTTGGGCTTAGGTCTTCACAAGGAGACCCAGCTGTCCTTGAGCCAGGCATCTTGTTTGTGACTGGTTTTGATAAGCATGACCCATGTTCTTGGAAAACCATGCCCCATGTACTTCTTGTGGTTTATTACTGTTTTGATGTGGAAATCAAGTCTCAACTTAGAGGGGAAGGCATAGTGTCCCCTGTACTGCTGAAGCAGGAAACTTAGGTTGGCTAAGCCTCTTGGTCTGAGCATGTGGCTGTTCCTGTTCTCAGGTCTGAGCTGAGAAGCAGAAGCCAAGCCCACTGGTTCTCTGGGGAGACAGAGCCTATCTGGCAGCTTCTGCCCTAGCTTCTCTCTGAGCTAGAATGTCTGGCTGACCCTTCTTTAGTGATCCCTGTCTCCCCTCAGCCCTTCTGTCAGCCATCTGCAGGAGTCACTGTAAGAACCCAGCATCAAGCTGGGAAGTGGTGGCACACATCTTTCCTCCCAGCAGAGGTGGGCAGATCTCTGAGTTCGAGGCCAGCCTGGTCTACAGAGTGAGTTCCAGGACAGCCAAGGTTACACTGAGAAACCAAAACAACAACAACACAACCCCAGCATCTGTCCGATACTACTGTTTGTGAAACTTCTCATGATTCCTCATGAAATGTGACCGCTCCTCCAAACCTTACCTAGATGCTGAAGCCAGCCAGGGAGCCTTAGGTCCCATTATGCCTCCTTGTGATTTGATATGCCATTTCTCCATAGGCTAACCCTTTCCTGTGCTGACTGTTGAAGCTGATGTATCAGTTAACTGCTGAGCCATCTCTCCAGTCCAAGTTGATGGTCTTGAGATGATGACCTGGTTATCTGTAACCCTGGGTACCGTGGAAAGTGATTGTATTGTAGAGGCAAAGGGAGAAAAACAGCAGAGCAGGTTAGGGAGACTGCTGGTGCCACCGCAGTGATGTAATCTAGTTGTCTCTGTGGCTAGAAGGCTGAAGGAAGGACCTTAGAACCTCCTGGAAGAAGCCTAGCCAAGCCCACAGTGAGGCTGCTTGTGATCGTCTGATATCCTGAGCTGAGGGAGAGCACACTTCTGTTGCTGAAAGTCATGAAAGTCATGGGCAGTTTGTTAAAGTAGCTGAATAAGCCAGTATACCAACCAGCCTTCTTTCTCTGGGCTCCTTGTAGTTTTTGACACTAACTCTTTACCAGGGATATTATTTTATTTAATTTTTGAGATTATAATTGCAACTCTTCTCCCTCAAACCCTCCCATGTACCCTTTCCCACTCTCCCTCAAGTTTATGGCCTCCTTTTAAACTAATTGTTATTGTATGTATGTATGTGTATAGCTATATATTCCTAAATATAGCCTATTCAGTCTGTATAATGCTACCTGCATATAAGTTTTCAGGGCCGACCGTTCAGCATAGACAACCAGGGAGTGTGCCCTTCCCTAGGGAAGACAGCCTCTCACATTGCCAGCTTTCCTCAGTTGCCTCTAGTTCTCTGTGTAGGGTTGGGGCTTTGTGGGCTTTTCCCTGTTCACTTTTGGTTTGTCCATTGGTGTTGTCCTTGTTCAACTCGTGTTTGGAAAGTCATGTTGGTAAAACGTTGTGGATGTAGCTTCTGATATTGCCAGAAGACACACTCTTACAGCTAGCTAACTTCCTGATCATCTGGTTCTTACCGTCTTTCTGCCCCCTCTTCTACAGTGTTCTCTGAGCCTTAGTGCAAGAGTGTTTTGTCCATGCATTCCTGGGACTGGGCTCTACAGCTGCATTTTGATTGGTTGTGCTTTTCTGTAGCGGACTCTGTCTGTTGCAAACAGAAGTTTCCATGATGAGGGGTGAAGACTACCCTTATCTTTGGGTATAAAAATGAATGTTTAGATTATTGTTAGGGATTATGGTGGTTTAGTAAATTTGTGGTTGTAGATTCTCCTCCAATATCTATAACTTCACAGGTACTTGAGTAGTTGGCTAGCTCTCCAGTATCAGGCCTCATTTCTTTCTCCTTGAATGGGTCCAGTTAGAGAGCTTCTGGTTACTGCCAAGGTTTGTGCGCCACTACTGTACCCATAGGGTTATTGTGACGTGCTGGTCATCAGTGTGGTTCACAAGTGTCACAGCTGGGTAGGACTGTTGGTTCACTTCCCTCTTTTGGAAGCTTGCGTGGTGTCTTCTTGTACCATGAAAACTAGCCCTCAAGGAGGGGGCATTTAGGTCAGTTCTAGCTCAGGGATCTCTGGGCCTAGTTTCTGAGCAGCTATCTTCAGTGCATGGTATCTTTAGCAGTAGGGACTTACCTTCCCCTCCTGGGGAGTGGTGGTAACCAAGGACAACGGCAGTACACTGTATATTTTGTCTCTTGGACAGCCCAACCATTTCTTTCCATCTTTGACAGGTTTTCACATAGAAGCTTTACATTTTAGAGAACTCTAGCTTAGTTTTTCTTCCACAATTGTGGTTTTGGTATTGTGTCTAAAAAACTCATTGCCAAACCTGAGGTCACAAAGGTCTTGTCTGTTTTTTTTTTTTTTTTTTTTTTAAATATTCTGTGTTTATTATGCCTGGCCTTTAGGTCTGTAATCCTTTTGATCTACTTTTATGAGAGGAGTCCATGTTTGGCTGAGTTGCTTGTTTTTGGTCTGTGGACATCTGGGGATTTCAGCACCTTTTGTGAAATAGATTTTCTTTGTACCATTGCTATGTCTTAGCTCTTTCATTAAAGGATCTTGTGTGGGCCTAATTCTGGACTAGCAATTCCATCCCATTGTTTTTATTTATTTAGTATAATGCTGTCTTGCCTTTTGTCACTATATAGGCTTATTTGAAGTTAGGTAGTGTCGATCCTCTGACTTTGCTCTGTTTTTATGGTTCTGGAATTCTGATATTAACCCTTTTGGTGCTTATGCACTCTTGTAGAACTGGTACACAGGAAAGACATGGGATTTTGTGTGGTGACTCTTTCATGCAGCCTGGCTGTGATCACTTTAGATGATTCTGCTGTCGTCCATTCATTGTAATTTTCCACACAGATAGTCGAATAATGGAATAGAGACTTTGTTTCCTATGTTCATCTCCCCACATTTTCTTTCCCTTTTGTATTCTTTAGCTCCCATTAGCTGAAACTTCTATGATGCCAAGTAGGAGTGGTGGCATTGGCTCCCCAGCCTTGTACTTCCTGATCGCAAGTGGAAATAATCTACTTTCTCACCAGTCAGGAAGAAGCCAACATTAGTTTTTTTGTAAATGTTCTTTCTCAATTTGGGGATTTTCACTCTACTAGAATTTTACTGGGTTACTTCTTTAAAATCAGTTTACAAGACTATTTTTCAGAATCAACAGTGGAGGCATTTCTAGAACCATCTCTCTCCACACTACTGCTCTGTAGATGTTGTCCTTACCCCCATTCCCTACATATGGCCCTTCTTTTCTCTGTCCCAGCCATCCAGTCTCCACCACTTAAGCCTTTCCCAGGCTTTTCTTCATTTTGGAAAAGTGGCCAGTTTTCCAAAGGTTCAAAATGGGATCTAACCAACCAGTTGTTTTGTTTTGTTTAGGACGAAGTTTCCTTTATGAAGCAGATTTAAGCGTCAGCTTGCTCAGGTCGTTTCTCCATTGCCTGTCTTCGGATTCATCACCACTATGCGTCATGCTTCAGGTTTAGGTCATGCTGGAAAAATGTCAGATGAATTTTTGTTGGCATATGTGCTACCTGAACAGTCCCCTGCCAGAACCTCTGTTGTGAGCAACATAAAAGCTGGCCCAGCTCCTCGAGGCTGGCTAGGCTCCGGCCCTCGGAGTAACCTGAGTGTTCCACCAGCTGTGCTGTCTGGACTCCCACTGAGCGCAGCACCCTCTGCTTTGCCTTTTCGACCAGCACCAACAGGAATATATCCCTCCATTCCTCCAACTGGACCACCACCAGGAACCCCAGCATCCTTTCTTCCTCATGGACCATCATGTCCCCAACCTAGTGGTCCTTATCCAGCCCCTGCTATACGTGGCCCTGGGCCCACAGGGCCATATGCTACACCAAATATGCCCTTTCCAGAGCTACCTAAGCCGTATGGTGCACCCATAGATCCAGCTGCAGCTGGTTCTTTAGGTCCACGGGGATCTATGTCTTCTGGACTTTGGGCACCAGGATTGGGAGGGCAGCATCCTACTATACCATATCCATCTCCAGGGTCGCATCCCACTGCTCTTCCTCCAGTGTCAGGAGCACTGCCTGTTCCATGGGGTACTGTGCCACCGGAAGCCTGGGGACCACCCACACCATATACTGCCCCTGCAGGATCATTTCCCATACCAGGACCCCGTTCTACTCCAAATAATCCATACCAAGTACCTTCAGGACCTTCTGATACTCCGCCAGTGCCTGGTGGCCCTGATAAAGCGAGTGACGTGCCTGGTAGCTCTTCCCGTCCTGAGACATCCAACCAGGAGAGCACCCCAGAGACCGCTGGACAAACGAAGCAACCGAAGGTAGATGACAAACTCATCAAGAGGAGGCGTCCTAAGAAGAAGAGTAAGCCAGTGACTTGGGGAGACATCAAGACTTTAACTCATGAAGCCGAGACCTTGGGGAAACAACAAGGACACAATACTACTGACCCAAAAATGATGCTGTTATGTTTAATGACTATATTACATGTTAATTCTCAGCGTAGCAATGCAGAATCAAAGTGATTTTTGTCAGGGGGGATAAAAGGCACACCTGTAATACCTGTAATAAACAGTATGATGTTGTTTTGCCAAAACAAAAACAAAAACCAAAAAAACAAAAGCCAAACAAAACAAAACACTACCACCAGTCAACTCTTTTGTCCTGGACTTTGTCTATCTTTGTGGGCTTGGTTGTTAGTGGGGTACCTTCAAGGGACAGCTAGGCACTCAGGTTTCACCAATATATCAACCAGCATCAAGTTCTGGCCTGCTTTATTGCAGAAGACACAGAAGCAGCAACAGCTGAGGGCTTCCCAGTAGCCCTTGTTCTCCAGTAGGATCTGTCCCTATTCTTCCAGGTCAGTGACCAGTGATCCGGGCCACAGCACTTCCGGGGTTCCTGGTGTGAAGACCAGGCCTAAACCAGGAAGAAGCTGTCCCTGAAGCTTGGCCCCTGCCTCTTCTGGGGAATCTGTGTGGAGTCACCCTCTCTCAGATCCCTTACCCTGGACCTTCCAGTTAGGCACTCCTCCACTTTCACCAAGTTTCCTTGGTTGGGGTGCCAGGGTTGCCTCAGAGAGGCTCCCCTTTTCAGATGTCACATGCACTTTCTGGGTGACATGTGCTGCTGCAGGTGTTCATACATGTGACCTTGTTAGAAGGAAAATACAGACCATGGCAGGAAACATAGAGATGGTGAAAGAGACTCACCTCAGGGTGGCGCTCTTGTATCTCATTTTAAGGGGATTTTTTTTTCCCAAGGTAAGTTTTTTTTTTTTTAAAACTAATTTATCTGCAAGATGAACAGGAGGAGGCCTGAAGTGAGATATAGTACTGCTGTGACTTCGGGCTTGCCTTCATATTCCTCCTCCTTAGCACCCGTTGTTTCAGGCGTGAGTCATTTGGCTGTCCCCTGCAAGAAAAAAAGGAAACAAGATGCTCACTGTTTATTGGATTTGTTGGATTCTGAGACTTTCTGATGAGCTGGGGAATGGGCACACAGTTCTGCACAGGGAATGGAACTGGGGATCCTGAGCACTGAGCTACATTGCTAGTCCCCACTGCTGTGTCCTCTAAAGAAACACTAAAATATTCCATCTGGGTTTCATTTGCTAAGAGGAATCTGGTTTCCTCTAGAGTTCCTGATAGACAGAAATGTGCCATTAGTGAGTTTTCCAAAAGGCTTTGTAACAAAAGGTTTAGAAGTTTTCTTTCTCCTTGGCACTAGAGAAAGGTCTGTTAAAAAGGAAAGAAGCCGTGGGCCGCTCACAATGCCCTGAAACTCCAGCTCCAGAGGACCTAATGCCCCTGACTTCCACGGACATCTGGACTTGTGCACATTCACACACAGAGACTTGCACATATACACATGTATAAATAATAAACATTTAAAAAGAAGCTATGGGCTAGGGTCTAGCTCAGTTAGTAATATGCTTGTTTGGCATGCGTGAGGCTCTTTGATCTCCACATCACATAAACTGGGCATGATGGTGCACATGTGTAATCCCAGCGCTCAGGTGGAAGCAGGAGGGTCAGGAGCTCAAAACTACGTTACATAGTGAGTTTGAGGCCCTTGGGTTACGCTAGACTGTTTCAAACAAAGCAGATTTACCAAATTGCAGGTAAAATTGATAGAATTGATAGAATCAGTTCTCAAGGCCCCACCCGGGCAGAGCTGCAGGTGCAGGATTGGATCCTTCACTAAGGCCAAAGCCAAGCATGAGGAGTTCTGAGGATGGGACATCTTGTGGCATGAGGTAGCACGAGATGACCAATTCCAGGGCAAAGCCACAGTGAGCAAGCACTATCTAGATTGTAGCAACTAAGAGAGGCACTGAAGGGACATCTTTTGGGTGGAGTGGTGGAGAGAGTGGGGACCCTCTGCTCTCACCTGCAGGATTCGATTGTGCCCTGGGTCTCCTAGCACTGAGCCTGGCCCAAGCATCTGGTCTTTGGGTTCCTGGATTTTCCAGCCATGCTCCTGGCCTCTAGGAAGCTCTACTTGGATAACAGGCTTCTTGCTTTTGGCCTGAGACTGAGTGTTTCCAAACCTGGGACAATCTCCTACTTCATAGTGGGCATTGAGATATGGGGGCCTTGAGTACCAGCCTCAGTAAGCCCTTAGGGCTCAGAATTGAATGTCTATGGCAGGCGAACATCTGAGGGTAAAAAAATTAAATACATTACCTCTGCATGTTCTTTATTTTTCATACGAGGGGAGAAAGTGAAATGAAAGGGCATGGAGAAGAATAAGGGGAAGAATAGGAAGAGTAAGGGCTGATCTCGAGGTTTCTAGTTTTTTACAAACTTAGTTGGAAAATTCCATAGGCAAGGACAATGATAATATGCATATGAAAATCACAGAGAGGGCAGATAGAACCTGACAAAATAGTAGCCCAGAACAGGGACAGGTGATCCCGCCCAGGAAAAGCCAGTGTCCACCAGTGTTCAAGAGGAAGTATCTGGCAATCCAGAGGATTAGATAAAGTTACTAAATACTAGTGGATCCTTGCTTCACCCATTCTCCTCATCCAATCTCTTTGGTGATAACCAGTTTTGGGGACGCCCAGATTTGTTTGTTAGCAAAGGTAGGGCTTGCTGTCTTCCCGCTCAGTGCCTGTCTTCTATAGAAATTCCTATGTGGTCTGGTAGCAGGTAATTTTATGGGATTGACTCTGTAAATTTTACTGCTAGAACAAAGAGAATGTCACCACTCCAAGGTCTCGTGGTACAGGGGAAGTGGAGCAAGGTCACTCCGTGCAGAAGTCGGCTCCCATTTCAAAGGGAAGAATCCTGGCTTCACAAGGTTTCCACAGAGATGACAGCGACTTTTCCAACTGACAAGTGTTCCCGCAGCTCTGCGAAACGGGCTTTTCCTCGTGGACGTGAAGTACCCACTTCCCGTGGATCTGCCTGTTGGTCTGTCAGCTGTGCATTCCCTGTATACTCGGGTGGGCTTCAACATTAGGGGAGTGCCTGCCGAGTATAGACAAGGACATGCTGGGGCTGCAGCACAATATGTTAACTGTTGGTTCAGAACAAGTCCCAGTCCTTTAGGTATCAGTTCAGGGACCTGGGCTGGATGGTGCCGGAGCAAAGTCATTGCTCAGAGTCCTGCAGCACTAGCCTCCTGCTGCCTGCCTGCCGTGTGTAGCACCATCATTTGCTCGGGAAGTTATTTTGAGAAAGCCTTGTATGAGGGAGCCTTGGGGGGACCTGAACACATCAGGGACTGGCCAGTGGGCCTGACTGCTTGGAATAGCCACACATATTCGGTCCCTCAGGGCAACAGGGCCAACTTGAGTTAGTTCCGTACATTCTTGGCCCAGAACTGAAAAGCCCCAGGTCACATTTTGTTTTAGCACTGGTCACTCTCTTGGTTGTGGACTGCTTGACTTGTTTAGATTTCTTTCCAGCATGCTTCTGGAGACCCACTACACTCACAGGCAGGTCAGTGTCCCCTAGTGTGCACTCATTCTACTGCCCAGGGCGCTCTCTCCAGGGCTACAAATGTCCTAGAACATAAGAATTTTGGGAATTCTGGGCCAGAAGCTGTCCTGGGAATGGAGCAAGACCTTCTTGAGTGACCCCTGGTTAGATGTGACCAGGGACCAGTTTGAAAGCCTGTAGCTAGAAATAGGCAATGTTCATGGTGGGGGCACACACGGCTCTCCTCCCTGAGTGCTTTACAGTCTGAGCAGCCTTTCTGTGACAGAAACTATTTTAGGGAACATGAGGCCGTAACTCATTAAATTCCACCAACCCTCTCGATTATTTGACATTTTAAATACGCAGACTTCAGATGGCTTTCTGGACATTTCTATCCCCACATCTGAAGACTCACATCTCTTTCATTCGGAGCTCATTTTTGTGTTGAATGTTGCAACGCTTGTCATTTCAAACTAATATATTAGAGTCGGGAGAATAATGTACTTGGAAAATCGAGACTCCATAAATAAAATAAGTAACAATACATAAGCAATTTGAGAACATTTACAGAATGCTGAAGTGGAATGTCAGCTTAGAGCCGTGCATGCTGTCATTATTAGATGACAGCACAGGACTGACTGTTGGCCTGTGCTGAAGGGAGAGGATTTCTAGAGGCCCCACATCTCCCCCTCTCTCCCCTGTAGCTCTTGGGTCCTGTCGTTGATGGCAAAGGTCGTTGCCTCTGACCTTAGGAGGGGTGAGAGATCCGGTACAGGTATGGAAGCTTCCTGGACCTTGTTAATGGCACCTTTACTGCTGCTGTGAAATAAAGTTGCTGAGAAAAAAAAAAAATGCGCTTGACTTTAACTCCCCCTGCTGGGCAGAGCTTAGTCACACCTCTGAGTGGATCCTCTCTCTCTGTTTTACTGTCTCAGTACTCTTACTGTCCATGTCCTGGAGAAAAATGATGAGCTGCTCAGAACACTGTTTTTACTCCACGGGAACTTGCTCACATATTGCCTTATGTATTAAAATGAAGGAGATTAGCATGGTGGCTCATACTGTTATCCCAGCTCTTGAGAGACTGAGGCAGGAGGATGGTGAGTATAAGGCCAGCCTGGATTACATATTATCGGAACTTTCAAAATAAACAAAACTAAACAAAGACCCCACTAACCAGTGACAGAATTAAGGACTATGTTATATATCTCAAAATACTGACATTTACAAAGAAACAACTAAGCTGTTTTCTTTTCCCCTGTGAGTGTCAACTGTAGGGCTCCCCCTCTCCCGCCCCCATGCCTGTTACAGTGTGTCCAGTTGTTCCTCTGTCCAGAAGTGCCACAGCTCTGGCCTGTATTAGGCATGCAGTGTCATCATCTGTGTTCTCCCCCTTATCACCTCCCACCACATTCCTCCAATCCCCCATCCTCTTAGGCAAGTTGCTCAGGGTTGGAGATCTTCACCAGGTGAGAGTATGGGACCCACCTCATGGGCAGGCCTGTGCCTGGTATTCCTTCCCCACAGCCTGGAGCCAGCCACTCTGGTTTATTTAGTTTTTCCTTGGTGTTGGAGATTGAACCTAGCGCCGGCTTTTGTAGTGAAGGGCAATCTCGCAGCGTTTTTCGAGTGCCAGGTTCGCACTCTTGCACTGAGCTCCCACACCCTGGACCTGACTCTGACCTTTTGTGCTGTGCTGGGGCTGAAACCCGGGGTCTTGTACA